ACAGCCGTGCCCTTGGTGAGCAGGAGATCCCAAGTTTGAGCTTTTTCTGCAAAGCCCATAGATGTTATTTGTTCCATCTTTATGGAGCTTTTAGGCACTCCAGTCCCACTTTAGACAGCCTTGCTCCCAGCCCTCATCTATAACGTTTCTAATGTGGTTTTACATAGTGACTGTCAGATCTATTGTCTCTTCCCTCCTCCTTCTCTATTTTTCTTTTTCCAATCATTAGGCTTTTTAAGAAGTTTAAAATATTATATGGCTGGTCAGTAAGATAAAAGTTAATAAGAAACTTACTGAGTATATGAAGTATATATCACATAACTCTACTGGGTTTTGAAGTTTCCAAGTCAGAAAGTAAGGGAGCCAGGAATATAGTTGAAAATTTTATGTCCTTCATTCAGCAAGAAAATTTGGTAACAAATTTATTGTTTTGTAATTGAATAGAGATGTTAAGTTACTCAACATTCTAAAAAAAAAAAATCTGTGAATTTGATGGAAGATGTTTTGTACAACTGTCTCTTGATCAATTAAGATTTCTCCACTGGTTCCTTCTTCCTGCTGCCTGCCCCTTGGTTATTACTGTTACTTACTCCCTGATACAAGTTGGGAAGGGTTCCAGAGAGAAGGAGGGAGAAAAATATGCTGCCGCTTTCTTCCTATTTTGAAATCTGTTAATATTACCATGGGAATAGAAGACTAAAATTCTGGGTAAAATGTGTTTGGGGATATGTGTTCAGGTAGCAGAGTGTAATGGTCAAGCCCAGTCTAGAAAAATGTAGACTTGAATTCCTTTAACTAATTAACTAACCTTGTATAACCTTGGGCAAATTCATTAGACTCTCTCAGCTGTACTTTTTTCATTTGCAAAATGAGAATAATATTAATTTCATAGGATTGTCAAGGGAATTCAGTTAGCTAATGTATGAAAAGTCTTTAGCAATGTTCCCAACCTATATGAATACTTGCTGAGTGGTAGTAGTATCATTCTCTGCAATGCCCCACGAATTCACTGCTTACAGAACAGCAAATGGTGGCTCAGTTGGCAAACCATTCCTCATGTTCCAAACTTTATGTCCAACATGGCAGAATACTTTTAAAGAATTTCTTTCTTGGAATGTGTGTGTGGTGGGGGGCCAGGGGTGAATATCTTCCCCTTTCTTTGTTCAAAGAGGCAGCAGGCTGTTACATGGAGGTTGGAGTGGGTGGGAACAGTCCATACTGCTCTGCCATTAGAGACAGCAAAACTTCTGTAACTGGATGAAAGCAACTTCAGATCAAATGAACAGAGTCATTTATAAGTAATTCATGTATAACTAATCACCAATGTCCAGGAATTTGGAGAACTCAGTTGGTTTTTTCAGGGTGCATTGGGCAGCTCTCACAGGAAAAACACAAAAGAGAAGGTTTTGAAAATTTCTGCAGTTTCTGAGCTATGCCACCTAAGCATTTCAGATCATCCCAAACTCTTCTAGAACCTACTGTGGGAGCATTTGAAATATCCAGAATGAGACAGTGCTCACCTGTTTTTTTTTTTTTTCCCCTAATTTGACCATGTTGGTCCAGTCACTGTTTCTGTCTTTGTATCCAGGCTTTGCCCAGGTCCCAAGAGCAGGCTTTCAGTCAGCCACACCTGAGAAAGTAGCTACAAACCTCTGCGAGACTGCTTGGCTAACCTGAGAGCAGTCACCTGTTTCACTAGGGTGGGGCTGTTCCAGAACTTTCTCAAAATTTGGTCTCAAAAGACCCCTCTGAAAGTACTGAGGAGTGGGAGTAAGAGACTTAAAATTCTGTTCCCGGAATTCTATTATTCTATTCTGTTATCTGAAGGTCAAACAGAGGATAAGAGGGGCTCAGTTACTCACCATGTGGCAGAGAGGGGGTTTGAACTGAGGCAGGCTGTGCCTTTGACCAGCATGCAGGATGCAGGCCCTAGGGAGTGGGAGCCTTGGCGAGAGTGGCACCTTGGTCCTCTTCCTGATACGTGATGCTGAAGGCACTTTATGTTGTAGGTTATTAAACTTTAAGCAGCTCAGAAAACCACTCAATTCCGCGTATGTGCCTGGGAGTGACCAGCTTGGTAAGTGCCTGCAGGTCAGCACCCCTAGTCAGTGGGGCAGCACTAGCACCCTCCTCTCCCTGTCTCCTTCCAAAGCATCTCGACTCCAGCTGCCCCTGAGAGGCTCAAGGTGGCTTTAGATCAACGCTGAGGCCCACTGCAGATGAAATAAATAAGGGTACACGGGAGGGGGTCAGGAACAAGTGTTTCATCTAAAAGCTCCCAGGTGAGTCCCCTGGACATCAGGGCTGGAAACTTCTCACCTAGGGCATGAAGGTGTGAGTTCCAAAGGCTGTGGGATGGAAAATCAGCCTTCCCCAGGGGGGCCTTTTAAGTCTCTTGTTTAGGGTTCCTGGCTCTGTCTGCACATTAGAATCAACTGGGAAATTAAAAAATACCCATGTCGGGCGCCACCCTCAGGGAGCTTGACTTAACACAAATGAGCCAGGCCTGGGCACCAGCACTTTTAAAAGTCTCCCAGTGATGCTTCTGTGCAGCCAGGGTTGAGCACCCCTGGGCTCGCACTGCCCCTGAGCCAGCCGATGGGACCACCGGGCTCAGGCTGTTCCTCCCCAGGGGCGCTCCTCCTCCTCCTCTTCAAACGCGGTCACTTGAGCTGTGTTCAAAGGGCCTCCCAGGGCTGGTTTTTTCTGTGGAGTGCCCTGTGTCAGTCTCTGCGGTGGGGCCCAGAGGAGCTCCAAAGTCCACAGACAGATCCCAGCTCCTGAAAGATTCTCATCTTATCAGCGATCTCCTCCTTGCCTGCACAGAACGCTCTATTGTATGAGGTTTCTTTCTCTATTTTCTTTCTTTCTTTTTTTTTTAATTCGAGGTTCCTGGCAGTCACTAAAACGTCTCAGAGGCAGAAGCTGGCTTTGATAGACTGTCAGCAGAGTTGAAAAATGCGATTTCTAAAAAACTTTCTAAACTCTCCCTTTTCTGGTCTGTCTTTTGCTCCCACTGGCAGGCTTGGGGACTGCGAATTCGCACAGAGCGCTTTGCTGGCCTCCGGCCCAGCCGCCTTCCCCTCCTCCCGCCCCACAAATTAATGGAGTGCTGCTGAGGGACCCGGGTGCCTCTCTTTGGCCTCACTGCCATCACAGCCTGGCAGCTTCAAAGCTCTCACCATCCTGTTTCCGGCTTCCCCTGAGCCGAGTGGCCGGACTCCGCCGCACAGGTCAAAAGTGCAGCCTTGGCGCTGCCGGCAGGAACCCGGTGGTGGCAGTGACCAGAGCCTCGCAGGCTCGGCATCCCCCCTGCCCCCCACACCAACCCTTCCTTGGAAAGATAAGGCTTCTTCTCGGGTCCCGCAACCCCTTCCCCTGCTTCCCGTTTCCTTTTATCCAGACTAAGGCGGCCCTTTGTGAAGGGGGGATGCAGGGTTTTGCACAAATATTTAATCTTTTTCAACCTGCCCTCTCTGCACTGCCTGTCAGTTCCCCGGGTTGAAACCGCTCTGTTTGCTTTAGCCTGTAACAGGATACTGTTTTGAAAAGTGATGCAGAAGTCAGATTACTTATGAATCTGGGCTTTATTTTGCATGAATGCTTTTCAAGGCAACTATAGATTTATTTTTTCTTCCTCACTAAGAATTATGTTGCCAGTGGGGGTGTGGTAGCCAGCACCAGGGAAAGTCTAGAGACTGCTTTTACTTTTTACCATGGGTTGGGAATCTCAGCAGCAGAAACCCAGTAAAACAAACTTAGCCACAGATTCATTAGCAGTTTCAGTTTCTTTCAGGTAAGATATCTCCCTTTCTTTTTAGGAAATGTCATTATTTTACATACAAATAGTTCATCCTGTTGAAGTATCTGCAGTACCTGTTAGAAATCACGTTAAACATACTGGAAAAAGAAAATGTAGAAATAGAATGATAGTAGCCAATTTTTATTAAAAGCCTAGTTTGTGCCATGCGCTTTTGATATTGATGCTACTCCTTACCGCCATGGTGTATGGCAGATATATTATTCCCACTTTACAGGCCGTGAAACAGCATGGTAACCATGTGGTTTGGCTTTTTCAGGATGATACGGACTTGAAATATTTTCCTTCAATGTCAGACTGAATGGCAAGTAATGGATCCTAATTGTTTAGAAAGTGTGGCTCAAGCTTATTTCTCATCTGAGGTCAAGTCATCCCTAAAACAGTCAAGGAGTCTACGGAAAGATGGACCCCATGAAAATCATGTACTTACAGCTTTTGGTGAAGTTTGGAGGAGAATAAGCAGTGAGAAAAGAAAAAGCCCTTTGCAAAAACTGGCCTAGAGTTCCAGGCCTGAAAATACTACTGGTTAAACCAAAAATGCAGTGATAGGGGAGAGAGGAAATGAATTTTGAGACAGCATAGTAACTATTATGTTGTTCTTATGTATAATATTTTTGAAAATATTAATTGGGGGAAATCTCATAGTATACTAAGGAAAAAGGTCAGGTTACAAAATTAAAAACTATGATCCCAAATATATACAAAATAGAAAAAACACTGGAAGAAAAAATAAAAGTAGCAATTATCATTGAGTGCTGAGAATACTTCATTTTTATAGTTTTGAAAAATATTTTCCATATGTTCCATAATGAATATGTATTTTTATTATGATAGGAGCCCCACTGATAGGTTACGAAAACAAAGGAAAGGAAAATGCCACTGCTCAGTACCTGGTGTTTTATTTGAGTTGTACATCAGGAAGGAGGCCCTGGTGGTAAAAATTGTTCAAGTTGTGGCCTCATGTAAGAAAATACATTCTTTGTCTTCCTTCTCCCTCTCCCTCTCCTGCAAGGCTGTGCTTATTAGCGTCTGACCTTCTGTTTCCCCATTCTCTGCTCTTACAGAAGGATCAACTTAAACAGATGTGATTTAGAACCATTTGCGAATCTCTCTTTCACATTCTCCCATGCTGCGGAACTAACTAGGTATGAGAGGGAAGGTAAGTGAAGGGCAGAGAGGGTCACCTGTCCAAGTCACAGAGCTGAGTTGCTGCCTTGAATCCCCAAAGGAAGCCGACTGTGGTCCAAATGCCTCTGCTACAGAAAGGTTCCTCCTTGCTCCTAAGCTCCCCCAGGCCACATGGCTCCTTTGCAAGGCAGTTGTGTGACTTCCCACCCCCAGGCACCATTGCATGTTTAGAACTGCTGGCAGCTTGAAGCTCCAGGGAGAAGCGCGCCCTCTGCCTGGAGGCACTGCGGCAGAACCTGAGACCCCAAAACCCTGGGAGAACGAATCAGGGGAGTGGGCCTGCCTGTAGTGACCATCTGGCCTAAGTTGGAAGAAATCATTTTCATATTTAAAATTTTTAAGTTAAAAACTACATTTTTCTAGTTGGAAAAAGTTTCAGGTTTTAGAAGTCTAGAGCATTTTTCCATACTTTTTGTGAGGGTAGGGGAAATATTTCTCAGTCTCCTAGTGAAATCATTGTTTTAATTCACCTTGAAGAGATTACATTTTGCATGAGAGCATTTCCTAGTCTTTACTCCTAGATCTTCCAGGGGCTGGCTAGAGTTTGCGCAGTGCTTCAGGTACTCAAGGAAGCAGGTGATTAACACAGGTGAAGGGCTCAGGCACCCCCTCTTTCTAAAGAACTAGGACACTGTTCTTTCCCTGTGTCCTGAAGATTCCTATGGGGTGTCAGGTCCCTTTGGAATTCCCCACTTTGGTATTGTGGGTCCTGGGGGGAGAGTTAGTCTTTCTGCATCTCAGTGTCTTCCATAAAAAATGAAGATTATGTCCCAAGGGGCTTGTGAGGAGCACTTGAAATCTTGGATGTGAATCTGATTTAAAAATAAAAATATTCTAAATATGACATCTTATTCATATTTCTTATATGATCCCAGTTGTATCCAGTGGCATAAAAAATCACCATCAAATATTTTCCAGTGTCAACTATTACATGCTTAACGTTGCAAAGTTGATTGTGAAAGAGAGAAAAGTAAAAGACATGGCCAGACCTCAAGGAGCTTACAGACCCGGTGAGATCACTGACCCCTGATGATGTCGTTGTGTAGGACACACACCCAGCCATTAGGAAAAACCATAAAGACAGGAGGTTGTAGCAGAGAGCCTTCATGTGGGCTCAGTCGGGCTTGACGAGGCTATAGGAAAGTGGCACCATCTCCCAGGTTTGGGAAAACCAGTAGCAAAGACACAAAAAGGGAAATGGCTTATTGTGTTCATGAGGCATCAGGAAAAAAATGGTGGACCTGACAGAAAGTGTTGAGGAATAACAGGGTCCAGGCTGAGATGCTGGGGAGAGGGTCCTCAGGGTCAGGCTGAGTTGTGTCCCCAAAGGAAGAAGGTACCCACATAAGTAGGTCTCTACAAACTGATATCTAAATGCCTGCTCAGTGCATTTGGCAAGCTGCTGATAAGGTGGTTATAAGGATAAACTGAAAATTTATTTCTAACATCTTGGAAACAAAAGGGAATATAAAGCTTAGTTGTTATTTTAATATACTTTTACTAGATAAAAATAACTCCAGAATCAGAGTACTATTTTCCTCTTGAATTTCTGAGAGCATTAAGGGTAGAAAATTATCTGGGAGAATGCATTTTTCTCCTAAATGATTATTTTGGAAATATTAACTCAATAAAATATTTGAGGACAGAAAGCATGAGTACGATTGCATGCTTAGAAATAGTATGAGTTTTGCAAAAATATAGATCAATCAAATTGTAGGACCAGCCAATTTCCCCTTACCTTGAATTTCAAAGTGTTTCTTTTGGGAATTGGTTTTTGTTTTTGTTTTATTTTAAAGTTTTTCCCTGATCTTTTAAAAAATTTTTATTGTTTTTCTTTCGCATTCTTTTTATTGTTGTCCAAGTACAGTTGTCTCCATTTTCCTGCCACCACTTTCCCCTGCCCGCCTTCCCAGCCCTCAGTCTTCAAACAGCTGCTGCTGTGTCCTGTGACAACCCAGGTCATTAACAAGGTACCACTATTTTTTTTTAATTTTTCAGTTAAAATTGACATACAATATTATATGTATTAGTTTCAGGTTTACATCCTAGTGATTAGACACTATATAACTTACCCAATGATGATCCCAGTGAATCTCATAACCATCTGACACCCTCTGAAGCAGGAGGTTTGGTGAAGAATGAGGACGACAGGGCAGGTGAATGGGGCAATAATAATGAGAACTGCACATTTATGGACTTCTGTAAACACAGATTATTGATTTATTGTAGTTTAATAGATTCTACATTTTCCACATTTTCTTCAGCCATCTTATAGAACTATTTTTCAATTCCCACGTGCATTTCAAAAGCTTTTTTCCCATGGTGTGTAGTGCCTGTTCAGTTGTCACAGGATTATGTCTGTTTAGACATATATGAAATGTGTATATATTTTGGCAAGTAGCAATTCAAATGTTGTAGAGCCTATGCCTGCAAGCCAAGCCAGTGGATGCAAAATGAGCCAACAGTTAAACGCAGGCAGTTGGCAACCGCAGAGCATTCTCGGGTCATTTAGGTGCTATCGCAAAGCCCATTGGCCTAATCAGTGGGGACTTTCTTCTAAGTGGGAAACTTATGTGTAGGCATAACCGTGTCTCCAACAAACCTTAGTTGAGTGCATTCTTGAGGTCAGATGGCATTGAAACTGAGCACACTACTTTTACCTACAGTTAAACAAGTCCACCCCATCCACATCTGCCCTAGCAGGACAGAGGATAGACAAGGGAAAGCTCAGCTAGGGCACAACATTCTGTGTGGGGTCAGTAGAGGAGCCATCCTGCGTGGAGCAGAGAATGCTGGGAATATCTCTTTGGGATCCTAGCTTCCCAGCCCACTTGTTCCATGTAATAAAACATGCTTTAACTAGTTAGGGCAGTTTCCTGACCAAACTCATAAAATCTTCAGGTCTAAGCCTGGAAGCAATTTTGTCTTGAGGATGTAAGTGTGGTTTTTAAATTTGATAGATTAGCTTAAATGGATGTTGCAATAACACGGGGAATGCTTTAACTATTGGGGGTAAGGGCTGCGACTGCATCTTTTTTATCCCATTAGAGTGCCCATGAAGATTGCCCAGAGGAAGCAGGAATATTCTCTCTGGCAATGCTAAACTGAGGAAGGATTTTTTGTCTGCCGACCCAGGAGAAGAAGGACCTCATGCTCCAGGACACAGGTCCGCAAACTTATTTTTAAATGAGCGGCCACTTCAGATTCAGGGAAACCAGGACTCCTTTCAAGAAAGAGATGTTTGTTTTACCCAAGGCTAGAATGTTTTGTAGGTGCCTTTTCATGTCTTAACATTGTGCTTGTTCGATATTCTTGAAAGAGAGTCAGGGTGAAGTCAAGACATTTAAGTGAAAATATTTATTTCCCTAAAAATGTAGCTTAGTTTCCCCTCTCCAACTCTGTGAAGGAATATTGGGAGAAGGGCGACAAAATGACAGGAGCATCTGGCCATTTATTACACATGCTAGGGAGTCGTGGCAAAGCCTCCTTGGTCCAGTTCCAACTCACGGAACGTCACATCCTTTTTTCCACTTAGACAGAGACCTGCCCTCACAGTGTTTCTTCCAGCCTTGCCTAAGGAGAGGGAAGCACAAAGAACATAAACAAGCATGGCAATCCAAATATTGTTAGGTTCAAGAGTGGGAGATAATTAATACAAATAACCCACAGTGTCCAGGATTTAGTTTCATTTGATTCTGAGATACGAGCACTCTATCCTTTTGCCTTGTGAATACTTTGCTTTCCCCAGTTTTCTTCTGGTCATTATTTGCTTCAGCAACAAGAAAGCAATTTTTATAAACATGGATCCTTTAGTTAAACACCCACATCTCTGAAAATTTCAGTCCCCCAAAATGGTGATCTGATACAGCCACGTTCTCCAGAAGCACAGCCACAAAATGATGGTGAACATGTGCAATCCTAGCAAAGTGTCCTGCCAATTCGCTGTGTGATATGGTCATTTTCTTTTCACCGCTGTTTGTTCTCTCCCCACAAAATGTTGCTGTGGACTTCTAAATCTTATACAAATCTAGAAAACACTCAAGTTTTTTTTTTCCTTTGGTGTACTGCCTTCACTGATACTTCACAAATCACATTAGAAAGCAACTTTTTCCATTGTTTGGAATGTGAAAAGCATTGAAAATTATCATGACTCAATACCATCTCTCCTCCCCATACAAATGCCTTCCACTATGTTCTCTGCGTGCCCACACACTGATGGAGAAGGGTATAGACAAGTCCCATTAACACCACTGTTGGACCACGCTGCAGAGACGAGTTTGTCAATGTCTGCTGCAGCCGCGGTGAATGGACACACTGCAGGTTTTGCTCATGTCGGAGTAAGTCTCCCAAAGAAAACTTCTTACCAATAGTTCATCCCTTTTGTCTCATGAGCAATTTTCTTGGCACAGATAATCGCATCTGTCAGGTCGTCAGTGAGCAAGGCTGTAAGAGAGAGGAGGTGTAGGTTTAACTAAGACTTTATTATTTGATGTTTTCTTCACTTTCATTACTGCTTTTTTGGAACAGAAGATTTGGAAGAACTTGAGCCATATTCTTATTTTTTGTTAAGATTCTTGGCAAATCAAAGAATTACTTTTGTTTCCAGATCATCCATGTCTTGGATTTCTTGAAGTTTCAGAGAAATAATAGATCAGTCCTGGGCAGGGCAGGGGGAGGTTTGGAAATATGTTTAGAGAAGACACAATAGCAGAATGTTTCTTATGTCCTAAAGACATACACAAAACAAGACAGTACAATGTTTCTTCTACTTGGATTAATTTGATATATAAGATCTCCTTATATTAAACTTTGTATATTATAGCTTTCTAGTTGTGCATGAAAAATTTATCCAAGGGGTTTTTATATGCAGAAATTTTTAAGTTTTATGGCAAATACATCAATATTTGCTTTTATTATTTTCTAGGGCTTTCAGAATAATAATTTTTTTCAGTTGAAAATGTATTAATATCAGCATTCTTTCCTGCCTGCCCAGAAGTGGCCTCAAAATCCTTCTCAACACAAACATGACAGAAAAAGGCACGTAAACCTAGAAATCTAACATCAGTTCAAAGGAACCTATGCACCCCTATGTTCATAACAGCACAATTTACAATAGCTAAGTACTGCAAACAGACTAAGTGTCCATCAGTAGATGAGTGGATCAAAAAACTGTGGTACACTTACACAATGGAATACTCCACAGCAGAAAGAAAGAAGGAGCGCCTACCTTTTAAGCCAGTCAGTGAAAGACACATACCATATGATATCATTTGTAAGAGAAACCTAATGAACAAAACAAACTAACAAGCAATGTAGAACCAGAGGCATGGAGACATGGAACAGACTGACAGTGACCGGAGCGGGGAGGGGGATCATGGTGGGAAGAAAGGGAAGGACTCGTCAAAGAGCATGTATGAGTGACCCATGGACATGGACAACAGAGTGGGGACTGACTGCGGGAGAGGGAGGGTGGGATGGGTGGAGGGGGGCAAAGGGGGGGAACTGGGACAACTGTAACAGAGTAACAATAAAAATTTTAAGAAATAAATAAAGTAGAAACATAAAAAAAGTAAAAAAAAAAAAAAGTCCAACATTGCTTCTGTTGCAGATTGGGTTCTCCAGAACCAGATCCTGAGACAGGTTTGAGGTACAAGGTATTTATTAGGAATCCGCACATGTGAAAGCGATGGGGCGGAAGCAGGACTGGGCAGATGGAAATGTCCATCTCTGATACAGGTCATTCAAAGCCTCAGCCAATGCTGCCAGGAGCTCAGGAGTGAATGTTGCCCATCAGAGTTGCCCATATGAGACCCGAATGGCCAGGTCCTTATCGCTCTGCCCTGCTCCGTCACTGGGCGTGGGCTGCCCCTGCAGGAGCGGTCTTGCGGGGAGGCGGCTTTCTGCAGCTAAGGCAGACCCTGAAGGAGGCGCTGGGTAGACAGACTGTCTGCAAACACAAAAAGGTGGCTGAGGCCAACATCTTCCCTTCAAGAGGAATCTAAGTCCACCCATGTCTACCATAGGCACCAGAGACAAAACCCACACCATGTGATATCATTTCTATTTATCAACTAAAGAAAGATTTTTAAAGAACTGGGTGATGCTTGATGCTGACAGAAGTGCAGTGAGAGAGGCGCTCGTGAGTTCTTGCTGGCGGGAGTGTGGTGGGTTCCACTTTCCAGTCAAGCAGTTCCAGAGCCTTGACGTAGTTTTAATCCTTTCACTTTGAAATTTCTCTTTCTGCATCTCTTCTGAGGAAATAATCAAGTGGTTTACTGTTGTTTTATTTACAAGAGAAAATTTATTTCCAAATGGAAAAAATCTAATTGTTTCATAAGTATGGATGTTCATATTAATAATTCCTCCATATAATGAAATAAGGAGCCATTTAAATAATATTTTTGCATGCTTTAATAATACTGAAAACGACTCCCAATATAAAGTTACTGATATTGTAAAAATTTCTGTTTAGAACTATACTGTCCAATATGGTAGCCATTAACTATGTGTGACTATTTAAATCTAAATAATTAATACTATTAGAATTTCAGTTTCTAAGTTGCTTTTGCTACATTTCAGGTGTTTTATAACACCTTTATTGCAGCTAATGATTCTCATATTAGATAACACAGATAGATAACATTTCCATTGTCTCAGAATGTTCTAGAAGAAAACATTGGTATAGAGGGGAAAAAAGTCATAAACTCACTGGTATTTTAAGAAGAGTTAGCTCTCAATTGTATGATCACCAATGTTTTAAATCATCACTGTATGTATGCTAAAGCTTTTACAGTAGAGATGCATTATTTCTATTATCAGAAAAAAATAACCAAAGAGAGTAATGTAGCCTACAGTGTTCCACTTTAATGGAATATTGTGATGCCAGATTATTCTGTAACTCAGTTGCAAATGAAATTTTTTCTCGAGTATGCTGGTTTAGTTACTAATTATGTTGCTTTTTCAGATAGGCTAAACTAGAGGATAAAGGAAGTGATAGATTTCTTTTAAGCAAATTCATTCTTAATGTGGCTTATTTTTTATTTAAAACACAAACCTATTAACCAGGAGAAAATTAACAAAAAATATGATCTATAAATGAAAGCAAATTGAGGCAATATAGGCAAATTCACTAGCATTTGGTATACAGTGAAAAATAAAGATTAGGTTATAAAAGTTTTGCCGTGTTTCTAGAGAGATAAGTGTTTAGAATAATAATAGCTATTACTAATAGCTAACCTTTATAGAAACTTACTGTATGTCAGGCACATAGTGAGTCTCTTCATGTATTATCTCTCTAAGTCCTCCGAAAGAACCATGTGGTGGTCACCATTATTATCCTTATAAACCAAGGCCACACACCCAGTAAATGAGTCCGCAATCAAACCTAGGTCTTAAAATCTATTATCTTTGGCCATTTCCTTCCAACACAGCTACTTAAGCAAAGATTCCCACTTATGGAACATTATAGGCTAACGAAGTCGATAATAAAAAATATAAATGATTTGTTAATTTTTAAGGTAACTATTTATTTATTATGAGATTATTAAAACTTAAGTGCTTGGTATCTGATACACGTTCAAATTACTTAGAAACACTTCTTTTGTGTGCTTGCTAAGTGCTGAGATACTGTGGTTTGTGTTTGGAAGTGGTTGGGGCCTGTTTCCTAGGAGAAGCGGGTTCAGTGGGGCCTCAGGGGTGGAAAGGACACAGATTACACATGGTGGGAAGAAGCAGACTGTATTTTATTGCACCAGGATTGGAGCCCAGCCCAGCCATGTCCACAAAGAGCAAGGCCGGTATTTGGGCGAAGGCAGTCTGCTTGGCGGTCGAGGCTGTGACCATGGGTGGGAGGACTGGGCTCTGTAGGCCCAGGTCGTGCTGTCAGCTTTCTGTTTTATCATAGCATTGTTTTGTACAACTGAGATGTTTCAAAAGTGCTAGTGGGACGTGATTTGGAATTTGCTTAAGGTGATATGGTAAGTGTGGTGGGGGCTGGGAAGTTAAAACTGAGGTGGAGCTGAGGCGTGAAAACAGTGGAATCGCCACAGAGGGGCAGCAGAGGGGCAGGAATGAGCCAAGATAGCAAGTATTTCTTTGGATCCAGGCCAAGAACTGCTTCTGCTCAATTTACTTTAAGTAGACAATTCTGTCCAGTCAAACATGAATAAGGAAAGGGCTATTATGTTGAATGGCAAAGCATTATTCAATTGCATAGTTTATTCTCCTACATACAGTGGCAGAAAGCAGTAACAATGTGCACAAAAAAGAACCATTATTTTCAGTTGTTAGTTTTGCTTCAGGTCTGTCTCTCCCCAGCATTCTCCTGCATCCCAACTAAACTATCGCTACCATGCTCACAATTTACATCTCTTTCTCTTCTCTGGAGTGATAAAGGCCAATTCTGATACCGGGCTGGTGAGAAATCGAGATTAATGTAAATTGGCTAAGACTAGCTGTAGGAAGCAACAATTGCCTCCTTTTTCTTAGACAGCTCTTATTTTAAATGGGTCTATGATGTTGGGAGAAAATAAAGACTGCTATTATAATATTATACACATGTGTACATATAACAAATATTTGGTCCAAATAGTTTGGAGAAGTTAGGCAGGAATTTTAGAAATATAATTTAGCATGGAATTGAGGAGATTCTATAGCTTCGAAGATGGAACATGAGGTGCATGTATACAGTACACATATGAAATGTCATGTATTTGTAAACATGCCCTAATGCTAAATTATTTTTCAGGTTCCCATAACAAATGTCCCTCCTGTATAATACATGAGGCAGAATGACATCGTCCATAATTAAAGATTCTCTGGCCTGAGGCTGAGGGAGGCCAGTCACTGTGGGGTGATTGTGATATAAAATCAACATCTTGTTTTTCTGTTTCAAAGCTGTCCCTAAAAAATTCCATGCTTTATTTATTTATTTATTTATTTATTTATTTATTTATTTAATTTGTAGTATACATTTTTTTCTGACTCTTTTTTAAACATCCTCACTTGAGGATATGTTTATTGATTTTAGAGAAAAAGGAAGGGAGAGAGAGAAACATTGATGTGAAAGAGGAAAACTGACCAGTTGTTTCCTGTAAGTGCCCTGACTGGGAACGGAATCTGCAAACTTCTGCTGTACAGAATAATGCTCTCACCAACTGAGCCACCCAGCCAGGGCAAAAAAATCCCATGTTCTTTATGATGAGAAAACAGATATGAATGTTCCTTTACCTCTTACATTAATCATCCAACACTTTAATTTCCAGGATCTAAGATTGTCTTGCAGATATACATTTATCCAGACCTCCTTAACTGCAACTAAATTGAACAATAATAAATTTTATTACATTAAACTGCATGTAAAGTTAAACATGGCCTTGATTGAATAACAGATTTTCTCTCCCACTGTAAACAACTAGAAAATTAGACAAACTACACAAGAATAT